CTTTTTTTTTTTTTGCTTTCATTGTGCACGTGCGTCCAAGAGCCACGATGAGGAAAAATTTTAAATTTTTATATTATACAAAGAAAAAAGGTTCCTTTCTAATAAGTTATATACGTACTTGTTGGCGTTGATTTCGTAAGGATAAGTTCCCGAATTCTGAAACGTCTGTACGTTACGTTTATGTGTGCATTTCTCTGTATCTGTCTACATGTTTAATTATTTACTCTCTATTTTTCTGCACTTTTGTTTTTTTTCTTCCAAGGGCTGAAAAAAAAAAAGTATTTATTCTGCAGTGCTTGTCTACATGCGCTACGCGTATTGCGTTGTCCCTTTGTAATTTTTCGTTGTCATTTTTGTAATCCATGCCCGTTATTTCATATGGCCCCTCAAAATGGTCGTCGTACTTCCCTTTTGGTGGTTCTTTTAATATGTATATCATTTTCCCTTCCATGAAGATTTTTGTATTCAGTTTCTTGTTGTAATAGTATTTTGATCTGTACTTATTTTGGGTCTGTGTTATTGCTGCTAGCATTCGTAATTGTGTGAGGTTTCCTGTTATTTGTCGTCGTAAGTTTGTGTATGTATGTCCTTTTTCCGGCTGCTTAACGCTTGACGGAAGTCTTACACGTTGGTCGAATACGAGCTCGTGTGAGGAGTAGCCTATGATCTCGTGCTCTTATGCCAGTGCGCACAGTGGTAGTACCTCGTCTAATTTTTCAGTTTGGCTAACATATGCCCTTAAATATTATGTCAGGACATGGTGCATACGCTCGATCGCACCGTTGCTTTGCGGGTGATAAGCTGTGCTCCCGATTTTGTTGACTTTAAATGGTTTGGCGAATTTCTCCGTAGTTCTGTTTATGAAGTGTGTCCCCCTACCTGATAATAATTTTTCTGGGGCTCCGAAGTATGCAATGAATCTATCCGTTAGGGCTCTCACTGCTTCTTCTGCCGTTGCTTTCTGAACGGGGGCCAGCACTATATATTTGGTTAGCCAATCTTCTATTGATAAAATGTGTGTATTATTGCGAGCTGATGGCTGGTTTATTGGTCCATAGAAGTCTATCGATATTTTTTCGAATGGTCTGCTCGGAGTGTCAGTGATCACCATGGATTGTTTTGTTTTTATTCGCACTAGCTTTTCGTTTGGCATAACGAGCAGCCGAGTACGTATTGCCTTACGCCTGGCCTCATATTTTGCCAATAAAAGTCTTTCGCTATTTTGCTATACGATTTATTAATACCATGGTGTCCTCCTACTTCCAACTTGTGATATTCTTTTATCAACTTATGTCTCTGATCTACTGGTGGCACTATCAATGTATTTGTGTATAACGTAGCGTTCATTTTTATGTCTTTGAGGATTTCCTTAAACTGTTTGACTACGTACGACCATTGGTTGAGATTTTGCATTGCTCTGTCTCTTACCAGTTGTATCGTTTTTAATTTGTTTACTATTACCAGTGACCTAAGGGTTACCACATATTTCTTTATGTCGGATTTAAACGCTGAATCCTCGAAGAGGGTTTTCGCGTACATTCGAATAACGCACACCTTCCTTATTTTGGATAGCATGACCTCGCCAACTGCCTTTATCTCGTTATTCATGACTACAGAATATTTATAGCCTTGCTCGTATAGTGCGTCAATAGACTCTGTGCCAAAATATCGTATGTTATTGTTAAGAACACTAGATTATCGATGTACCTGAACAGGTGATCTTCGACTTTTCTCATTTTTTGAAATGGGGTGGGGTCTGTGTTGCCTTGCGGGGCCCATGGAGGTATGTCCTACATACTCTATACTTTTCTATTGTGCCCGCTTTGTCGAAAATTTTTCTCTCCTCGCCGGAACTATCGTCGTTTTCTTCTATTAAAGCTTTATTTAGGCCCCGGTCGCTATCTGGTGAGAGAGAGTCTTGTTTGCTGTTAGTGTTCAGTGGTGGTGGAGGCTTAGGCTGGGGCATGATTTGCTCTTCATCAACCTTCTCTCTTTCTTTCTCTCTCTTGCTTTCTTTGTCACTCTCCGTATGCCATGCACCCTGTTCACCATTCTCTCCGTCTCTTTTGCTTACATATTGTTCGTTGCTGCTTTCTTCAAGATTTTCTTCTGTGTTATTTTGAGATTTCTGGTTATCAGGGTCGTTCTCTTGATTTCCTTTATTATTTACAGGTGAGGCGTCGCTATTGATGTCCTCTACAAGGACTTGGTAGTATTGGCTTTCAAGGTGTATGTGCTTGAATTCTGCGTTTTTTCCCCCATAAAGTGTTGGTATACTGTCTTACCAGGTGCCACTTATAGGTGTATGCATATATTATCTTTATACTGTAGTGAAAATATAAAAGCGCATTTCCGGTCCCCGAATTCATGGTTATTATTGAGTATTGTTTTTGCTTCTTTTGGGTCTTTACATTTATTTATCCATTTTGACTCACGTAGCGCTTTTCTAAATTTGTCTGTTGATTCTGCCAAAACGTAAGGAGTATTAATCAATGAAACAGACAGCTCCTATCTTTTGGGGACGTCGATCATTCTTAGCCGTTTGTAGGGTTCTGCCTATCGGGTCCCTGATATTCAAGTCTTCACATTTTCTTCGTCGTTCATCACGATTGGTATATCATCGCCATGATTCTTATGCCATCGTTTCCCCTAATGTATTTCTGTTTAACGTCGATTGAGATCTTTGCTTGAAATCGATTTGTTGATTCATTAAGTATTGATTTTAAATTGGTAATTAGATCTCTGTTGTTATTATAATTTTTGTTTCCACCGTCGGGTTTTTGTGCATCTGGCGGTCGTTGGCTCGCATGTTCCTTCGGTGCCGTTCGGCTTGGTTCGGTCATTTCCGTCCCTTGCTCGTCTACCTACTGTCTACCTTTGCCTCTACTCTCCTTCTGCTGGTCCTGTACCCCTCTCTTATATTCCGATCTCTCTTTACCTTCTTTGTCTCCATCAGGTGTTGGTGTTGTTACTAATTCCTCTATTGCCTCCCTAGCTTTTCGCTCTCTCTCTCTCTCTTTTTCTGCTCTCTCCGCAGCCTTGCTATCCCGCACTAGATGGAATCCCGAATGTTCTGCCAGCTTGGGTTTCCTCTGTGTTGCTGCCAGTGACTCGCAATGTGCAATAATAATCTTTTCCGAGTTGTGCGAATGCTCGACAGTATAAGAATAGTCCGGGATTATTTTTCCCTTTCTTTTGACACTTTTTCTAGATTGCTGTGACGATTGGGCCACCAAATTTGGCGTCCAGCACTTTTGACACTTTTTTTTCACTGTATAATGAGCGATACATTCTTTTGCTTTTCTTTATTTTATTACGTTCATTAATCGAAAAACATAATTAAAAAATTTTTTTTTATTGTTCCACGAGACTAAGTGATTTTCGTGCACACGACAGATTGTAAAAAATTTTTTCTGTATCTCACTTCTGACACCAGTTGTTACGTAGGGCTTACGGTGTGGAAATAAATAATAGGCCGACTTGTGGTTAACTTGTGCTTTATTGCAATTACTTATATTCGAGGGAAGTTGTGCGTGTCCTAATCTCGTAGACCCGGTCCTCCCACTCTCGTGTCTCTAGCTGATCTCCGTTTTACTATGTCTTTTTGCTGTCCTTTTTATGCAGCGGAGGCGCATACATGCATAGCTATATGCTATCGTACGTAACAGTAGCAATTATATATACAAAAGAACTATTGTCAGTAGACATAAGATTCTGACTACAAGCCATTATGTTAAATGACATTGCCTTGGCTAGGTGCACATGGTGCTATTCGTGAAGCATTATGTATGGAAAGCCTTATAATAATGTTCGATTAGTTTTTCTTAAATTTTGTTGACAAGTAATAGTTTTTTATGAATAAGTATTTGTAATAATTTAAATTGCATTTATTTAACAATTTTTATGACATTAAAAGAAACAAATAACAGACTGTCAAACAAGTGAAAAAACTAGGGCAGCCCTATCGTTGGTTCTGTTAGAGTTATGAATTAAACCAACAAACATATAAGGACTATAGTACTTTAAAAATGTTTATTAGAATAACTATATTTCAGTCTTGATACACGTTAAAACTTTAAGAACTTGAACTTCTTAATTATGTAACCCAGTCAATCTTACAAATGAGAACCCTAATGCTACCTCTATCTTACATACATCTCCTAGACTCCTCAAGTCAGGAGAAATTGTTATTCTGAAGTATCCATATGTATATATTTCAGTCATAGGAACTGTAAAAGTTTTGTGACTCAGCAAGAGCCATGAAAATGTATAGAATATAAACTAAAATCTTTAAAGTATTACTTCACTCACAGTTTCTTCGTAATTTATAGATTCCTAGTATTATCTTACAACCATTTATATACACGACTTTAATATATGCAGTAGTAGGATTGAAAGGAAGTTACAATGATTTTTTTCTTTTCACTACACCAGTTATTCTTAGTGCACTTTCTTCAGCTGCCATTGGTAAGTTATGCTTAACGTTATTCTATTATTATGCAATGATTTTCATGTAATACATCTTTTTAGGATGCATGATGTCTGCAGTATTTGAATCAATTAGCACCGCTTCACTTGCTTCTGTTCCAATCGATTTTCTGACATTAATTTTTAGTGGTATCTTCTTGCAATTAAGGTAATTATTTGAGTTTTTTCAATTGTTTACAAAGTCAATAAAATATACTAACGCTTATATTATCTGCTAATACTAAGTATGCCTGAAAGGTACAAAGAATCATGTAAAAATATGAACAAAGAAGTGGTATTTATACAGTAATAGATCAGTAAAGTGAACTTGTTATACTTTATTTAAGCTTAATTCTTTTCTTTTACATTAAAATATTTTATTATAGTTAATCGACTGTTACAGTTGCCAAAAACTTCTCAAGTGATTAATACAGACTTGTCCAAAGTTTTACACAAAAACATTACGAAAATAGAAATTTTTTTATAACTTCCAAGTGTTCAAAATTAAAAGTGAATCAAACTGTTTTTCATACTCCATATACAAAGACGGAGTAGAAAAAGTGAAGTAAACCTTAGAAATTTAGACATTGAACTTGTATATAATGAGCATGCATATGATGATAAATATTTGATACTGTTAAACGAATTACTTAACTGAGTGCTGATTAAACGAAATACTACTTTGTCGCATGAGTACCACGCTATTAATAATAAAAATGACGCGCGTGTGAACGTTAACAAATTGCAATGCATAAGGTACGCACTTCTTCATGAGTCATGATGCTTCTGAAAGGCACTAGCTCCCGTTGCAGACTAAGTACATAACGATCACAGTGGCAATCTGTATAAAACTCTGCATGTATACATAGAGGAGTAGCTGTTGTCTAATACATACCATTGGGTCTAAACTAATGTCCAAGAACTATTTTTGCTATTCCTATAATTTTTTTTTTCCTTCAGAATTTTTCCCTACTGATTTACGAAAGGTTAAAAGCATAGAAGAACGTACATTTAAGAAGAGGTCAATTACCTGAAAGTCCATTGGTAGCTACTATGATCCACACAACAACCTAACATGAAATAAAAAGTAATATGAAAACAAATTAAATATTAAAGCATGCACAAGCAAAATTTACGAAACCAGCAGCAAGCAATAGCAGTAAATAAAAGTGTTAACCATGGTTAATCCAGATAAGCAATATTATTAGCTTTTCAAGGAATCAGCCTATTTTCGTCATTGTAATAAACTTTTACACTTTTCTCGTGTGTAAGGTAAAACGAGAAAGAAGAACAGTTGTGATCTTTTCACCTTTTTCTTATTTACAGATGTCAAAAAAAAGTGTGAATTGTGACCTCTGACAAGGTAACAGAATCTTTGAAATCCCAGGGCACGGTCAGCTGACTTCCCTTCTTACTACTATCCACAAAAAGCAAGTTGACGAAAGTGCGACTAACATTTGGAATTATTTAATTATTTATGCAACAGTATGCTTAACCAAAACTACCCTCAAATTCAATTATTTCAACTATTACAAAAAGCCGACAACTCGCAACATATACCCAATTTTATAACTATTTTAATAATTATAATTATTATCATTGTTGTCATTGTTATTATTTACAATGTTACTACTATTATTTTTGTAACTATAACATAAATATTGTAGTTACAGCCATGACTACTGTCGTTTGATCAACCTATTTTATTCCGTTCAGTAAAACCTTATTCTGTATTGCAGTACACTAGCAATTTATTAAACTAACTGCTTAGTCGAAATGTTGAGCAATATTTATTGCTATTTTTGCAGTAAAATTTGTTAAATAAACAAACTGTGCTCTGCATTAGTAATCAATAGTAATACTCCATCTTAACAATAGTACAAGATTGTAGCCAATATTAAAAAATGTAAAATGTAAAAGAGAAAGACAGGGCATGAGTAACTAAATCACTTTTCTTTTCCTTGAGCCAGATGCGGTAACTTTTTCATTTTGAGCCATCATCTGATCAAGGTATAGAATTTAAGATAAAAGGGCCCCGAAGCCTCGAAAAGAGTCAGTTATCTGTCGAACAGAAGACTTGCTTGTCAAAGTCTTCCTCTGCTACCATATGGTCTCTACTACAAAAAGTTCTCATTTTTGCCTAGAATGGTAGACTTGGTAGATAAAATTTGTTTCTGCCATCTCATAGTCACCACGAGACAATAGTGACCCAGTATATTGATGGCTTAGTTTTGCTCCACTATAGAGAGCCCTCCTTGGTATCTGGCCGTTCATAAAGTATCCTTAGTCACTAGCCCTACAGAGTATTTTTTAGAATTATGAATAAATATAAGTAAGTTGTATTCTAAGTCTACTAATTCTTTTCTTTTATTTTGTTTTACTTCATTTTTTTTAAGTATACTGCCAGTACGGACAGAGAAAGAAACATTCTGTTTAAATAAAAATAAACATTTAAAGTACGTAATACTTGAAGAGCGTACCGCTTTTTAGGATGGTGGTGATAGTTTGTAAAATATGATGATTTGGAGTTTTTGTATTAATCCTTACGTAAATGCTCAAGGGTATACTACTACTTGGGGCGGTGATGGCAGCATCTAGTACCACGTTGGTATTATCGCAACCACGAATCACTCCCTCATAAATACTAGAAAATGTACCACTGCTCAGAAAATCAGTGGCAACATGGAGAATAAGGCGTGTTTGATCTTGCTCTTTCCCATTTAGACAGGTCGTGTACACTTGGGACTGTGAGAGCAGCAATTGATAATGCCAAATTATCAGGGGTCACCACATTGCAGACAGCTTGCGATCACCTTGCCTCCAACCTTAGGGACGACCTATTGATTCCAGGCTACTACGCAAGCTGAGGCCTAAACATACGTCGCGTCGATGTTATACTGTCAAATGATGAAACTAAAAATTGACCAAATACAAGATATGTGTGATTTAGTGTATCAAAGAAAATGTTAGATAATGACCGACGTGGCTTGGCCCACATAAGCCAGCATCTGCAAACATACCAGCGAATCTTTAGTTTGTTGACTTGAGACCCTACTCCGCATTTGTTGTAGAACTACTCACTACAATGACTCAGCATTTTTAATAGATTTCTATACCAAAATTCTGTACAAAATTTTCAAAGCTTTTCTGTTGCGATAGAAAAATTAATAATAATAATTCACAATAATTATTCGTTTCCATGTTATTATTATATGTCAAATTAGACAAAATAAAAAAAAAAAAAAAAAAAACTGTCATAAGACGTTTCGTCCCATATCGTAGAGGTTGTGGAGACATTGTATCAGGTAGGTAAAAAAGTGCAATATTTTTCACTTTCTTAAAAATATTTTAACTCGTCATTATTAATGGTCTATTTTATGCTTCTTATTCGATCTTGATGCATTATTACTCAAAAATTTTTTACTAAGTTGTATTTATAAAATAAGTTATAATGTTTTGGTACTAATATGAGTTCATAGTGTATTGATTTTTTACAACTATGTATATTCAATTTCTAAGAAATGCATCAGAGTAGTTCATAAATAATTCAACTACGTAACAATGTAAGTCATGGTAACAAACAAATAGATTCAAAAATGTAATGCTGTGCTTAATAAATTAGGTATGAAATACTTTTTGATGTTTGTTTATGACACGATCTGGTCGCATATATAACGTGCTGTATGAAAATTTTTACAAAAACTCTTTCATACATGTTCTTGCAATTGAAACAAAAAATTTAGCTTTCAGCACATTTATCATCAAAAGAGACAAAAAAAAATATTTTGAATTTTTCTTCCACAGTTAACTTACATAAATGAGCACTATTATAGATAATAATATTCTTACTGACTTGATTTTGGCCAGGTGTTTTTTCAATTAGGTAAAAAATACTGAAGAATGACTGTCCCCTTCTCTTTTACTTAAAAACTTTCATTCATTTTTTTAGCCCTACAATAAACATTGGAACTTATGAGACTGTTTTTCTTAAGACGGTAGCTTGCGAAGTAAAAATCCTACCAAAGCCAAAATGAAGTGACTAATGTCCTTTGAAGTGTAAATCTGATTGTTAGTGTGTTAAAGTCACACAGCTTCGATTATAAAAACAACTATGAGAAGTACGGTAAGTCACTCTGCAGAACAACACTTTGACTATGAATTTAATCTTTTGTGAAGAAGTTGGCTACATTTATTTCTTGAACAATTAAAAAAATAGTGACAATTTCTTATTAAGCAGTAAACTAATATGTGTGTTTCTAATACTTTTGAAAAAGCATTAAGTTTATCCAAAAATTTGTCATAAGGTTCTCTATTGTACAGACATTATTAAAAATTGGTTGCGTTTAATAATAATAACGCTTTAATAAGAAACAAACTGTATTAAAATTCTAAATAGTAAAAATCATTAAATTAAAGTCAAAAACTACTTTGATAATATTTGTTAAGACACGAGAAATCCTTTTACGAATTACGGAAAATGAGCAAGCACACCTTGTAGCAAATAATACAATGAATAAAGATAAGAAACGTACATACAGATAGAGAGCAAGGGTAGCTACTCTCACATGCATGCATTCGGACATAAAGTGTCTACGGTGAACAGACAAAATCTGGCGTGCGTAATTTGTCAGAGCATAAAGTGTCCACTAAACAGTATGTCTGCGGTTTCCTGAAGATAGCACCACTATTCCATCTCTATTACATAAGTGTGTGTGCTGGTATGAATGTACAATACATTCAATAATTTTAACTTAATAGTAGAAAAATTTACGTGTATTGTTATTTTGCTTCTACAAAAAATTTTGTCTACATGTCACTAATTAATAACAATAACATTGAAACCAAAGCATTTTTCAACGTTTTTCTCTTGGAAAAATTAATTTTAGAATAAAAGTAATTGCAAATATTTTATAACGTTTCAGATATTTATTCGAGTAAAGGGCAATGCAATCGTTATAAGATAAACAAAATTAAAAAAAAAACTTTTACTTAAAAGACAAGATACCAACAATTGGCACCTTTTATAATTATCACGGACTACAATTTAAATTTAATTCATATGATCTCCTTAAGCGACTTGCTTATTTATCCATTGAAATAATGTCAATTAAAACACTATACTTAATGTGTCAAGCAGAATTATTTATTTGCAAGTGTATGTGTGCAAAC